GTAAAAATGCTGTTAATTTTTACGATTCAAAATTGTGCAAATGTCCACTGCTTCGTTTATATTTTCTTACTGGTAATTTATTTTAAAGAAACTATTTTTGCTTATACAATGAACTCGCAAAGAAATACGCACGCTAACTCCCGATTCCCGCCTACATGTTGGGACCATTTAATTTAATATAAATAGCAATTTGGCCATAAAATCGTTGTTTAATACAAAGAATAGTTCAATTGTAATTGATGAATTGTCTCAATACCAACGCTAAACAGTATATTATCCATAATTCCAGCTCTTGAAAAAAGGGGGAAGACGAAATTTTCGAGTGAAATAGGAGTTTTCAAGCATCACCATATTTTGAAATAGTCTTGGGTATATTTAAATGTTCCTTATATTTTTTCTTATGTTTTAGCACAGGAGTTCGCGTACCTATCAATTATACCGAAATCTTCAATAAATAAAAAAATACGTAATACGTACATGTATAATAATAACACAGGTGTTCGTGTACCTATCAATTATACCGAAATTTTAATTAAATAAAAAAAAAAAAACGTAATACGTATAATAATAACACGTGTAATTTATAATAGGTATTACGTATCTATTTTATTTACCGAAAATTTCGGCAAAATTGATAGGTACGCAAATTCCTTTGGTTTTAGGCAAGTAAGTAAAACATGAGTATGTCAATAAAATATAATGTTTCAGTTGTAAATCGCTTTGAAATTAGTGGAAAATTAGCATTTATATCGTTTTTGTCAATAAACGCCCCCTCCCCGTGTCACACAAAAAGCTTTGGTATGAATTTGTGAAATAACATTCCATATTACCTATAAAAAGGAATTTGTGTGACACAGGGTGGGGGTAAGATGTTTTGAAATTATTTTTCGTTTTCCGTTTATTTCTTTAGTGGAAAACAAAGTTTTACCCAAATTTTAAAGTTATCTCTCTTTTTTCTTCCGAATAAGTAATGATTTATGAAAATCCATATATTTATCTATAAACAAAAAATTAAAAATTCTTCGAATATGTCAACTTTTGAAAATTGACTTGGAGGTAGGCGGGAGAACAATACTATTGTCACAGATGAAAATATACCATCTGGCATTTTGACAATAACTTTGGACATTTTCTATTCAAAATTCTATATCTGTTACTTAATTTAACGAGTTTGTCATAGTTGCTTAAATCTGTCATACACTTTAACATGTCTTAATTAGCCATGAGTGATATGACCAGATGGACTTTGCTTTATCTGACTTCATTTTTGTTTATTAAAAATCATAATCTTCAACTTCATTTGTAAATCAAATTAACTCTTGTCATATGTTACTCAAACTTACGGTGGTATATTTAGGACACGCAATTATTTTTATTTTAAATACCAGAAAAATATTATCTTGTGAAAACGAGATATTATCTTGTGAAAACGAGATAATTTCTTGTGAAAACGAAAAATTATCTTGTGAAAACGAAGGAGAGGGGGTATACTGTTTTACCCTTGTGTGTCTGTCTGTGTGTCCGTCCGAAACAAATTTTCGTCACAGTTTTCTCAGCAACTACTCAACGTAGATGCTTGAAATTTTTAAACAATCTTTTCTGAGGCATGCCATGGTGGGATACAATTTTGCTCAAATCGGAAGTCAACTTCCTGTTTGTCTGGGCGTCTGTCCGTTTCATTCATAACCAATTTTCGTCGCAGTTTTCTCAGCAGCTACTCATCGTAGATGCTTGAAGTTTAAATATCTTTTCTTTTCTGAGGCATGCCATATGTTGAGATACATTTTTGTTTAAATCCGATGTCAGCTTCCTGTTTGTCTGGGCGTCTGTCTGTTTCATACATGACAAATCTTCGTAGCAGTTTTCTCATTAGCTATTCATAGCAGATGCTTGAAAATTTATTACCGACTTTGTTGAGGCATGCCATATGGTGGGTTTAATTTTGATATGAATCTGATGTCAACTTCATCTGCCTGTAATTAAACTTGTGTAAACAGTATATTAACATGATAGTGCTTATTTACATCAGAGCGGGGGTATTGCTAGTGAGCATTGGCTCACAGATTTCTTGTTTTTTTCTGCTATTTAAAAAAAATAATTGCGTGTCCTAAATATACCACCGTTCAAACTTGTCAATTATCAATATATCTATAAATACAAATTGTTATTTACATTCGGGGAGTTGGAATCGGGACGCGCTTTTCCTTGATACTGTCCGACCCGACGAGAAATAAACTTCTGTAAATCGTAAAGCGGCTTCATCTTCTTTTACCATTAGTCCACCCTAGTGGCTTTACCGATAAGCGCACGCATTTAACGCGAGGGTGTGATACTATCGTTTGCATTTCTTTGCTAAAAATTTATCTACAGCAAAAATTTCCAGATCTACGGTAAGTGCCGGAAAAACAGGGTGATATCTACCGTTTTGTTTTATGGCAAGGTAATGCCACTTTTATTTTTAGCTCAAACTTGTGAACAACATTCAAACGTGATGACTTTAACTTTTCTATCGCCAACTTACCTTACTTATGCAGCAATATACCTTCATCACCTACATACGGAGTATATATATCTCAGTTGATTCGATACGCAAGAGCATGCTCTACGTATGAACAATTTCTTAAACGAGGTAAATTACTGACAAGCAAGTTGATGAAACAGGAATATCAACAGTCTCGTTTAAAGTCATCATTTCGTAAGTTCTATGGTCGATACAATGACCTTGTCAGCAAATACAATTTATCATTGAGCTAGTCAAATGCTGACTGACGTTTTTCATACCAATTGTTAGTCCATTATTTATACACTGAATTGACGACGGATTTTTTCCGTTATTTCCTGATCATGACAACGAGCACACGGCGGGTGTGACCGGTCGGCAGGGGATGCTCACTCCTCCATGGCACCTGATCCCACCTCTGATGTTTCGGAGGTCTGTGTTTGCTCTGCTCTGATTTTGTATATTGTTTAATGGACTTTTGAGATTGAATACTGTTCGTTATCTCCATATCTTTCATTCAACTTAAGCATGCAAAGGTGAGAAAAATGTTTTAACAACTTTTTAAAAAGATTGCATCAAAAGTTTGGTCTACTTACATTCATTCTTTGTTACTTTAGACCATGGTAAGTATTGAGACCTATTATTTTCTGAAACCTAATTGGTTTAGGAATTGAACAAAATTGACAAGGGTCATGCAAAAATTATACATTTGTCAATTTCCTCCTTTGTGCGTCACGGTGTCTTATAGTTATTTTATAGAGAATGAACTTTCAAGTGCCTTCGAAACACGTTTTTATTTAAAAAAAAAATGTGTTTTCTTTATGAGATAATTTTTAAATTTTATCATTAGTTGACCACCTCTTACTTTTCAAGAAAGTAAATTGTGTATATATATTTTATACATTTTTTTCTGTGAATTAAATTTACACTCTGAACATCAATGTTACAATGGGTCATTAAAGTGACGATCGATTGTTTTGAACTTTTCTCTGTAATAACAACTAAGCGATATTGTATCAATGCATAATTCATATTCAGCGGCATTTTTGAAAAAAAGATTCAAACAGAATAACCGATTGTTTTCTTTCCCTGGCGGGCATGTAAAATATGCACTTCCTTATTAAATGCCTGATACAAATTATATGATAAAGATGAAAAATAACGTAGCTAGAAGAATCAATATTAAACGTCATAAATATTAATTATATTGCGAAGTAATAATTAAGAGCGACAAAAGCGTCACAAAGCAGGAAATACTGTAGCATCCATCCTAAACGTTTCCCTTGTGTGTTATTCATTTTAGATAAAACTAATGAATCGGAGAGCTAACAAAAAATAAACTATAGAGTTTAGTTAGAATATTTTGAACTCGCATGAGTGATAAAATGGGAATGTCCCTTTATTTTTCTCTTTTCTTAATTTCAGTATATTTGTGCCCATTAACGAACTTTATTCCTTTTTTTCGGAGCTCTTTCAAAGCTGACTATGTTCAATATTCTTAGGTATAATTTAAAGACTTTCGATCCTTCATTTAAGAGTATAAAGGTTTTTTTTATCTATACACACATGACTTAATTAAAAACGAGGTCATTTAATTTAATATCTTTTGCACTTTAATTTCGTCAGTCGTCCTACAGAAACAGTTAAACATGTTGAGATTCTCTCTGGAACAAGTGCACCAATTTCAATTTTGGCCTATAGCATCTATGTGTGAAGGGGTGTAAATCTTGTTAAATCTAATACCCCCTCCCCCTCCACATCTATGAATCGTTAACAGTGTTATTTTATACTCAGGTGACCGTTGAGCCTCTTCTTCTGAATACAAAGTTTGAAATGTGCAACTCTCTGTTTTACCATTCTATGGTCTGATGGCTCAGACATGTTTTACTTAACCGTATTAGTAGGGCCGTATTTTTAATAAAATGTCTACATGAATAAAATGTAAACAGTTTTAAATAGTTACTTTATAACAGGTACATAAATTAGCATAAAGATTTAAATGTAAATAAAACTTTTTAAAAAAAAAAAATTGCACAGGGAAAATGGTTTTTTAAAACAACAATATGATTAACCTTTTAGTTCAATTGTCATTCTTCTGAGTTTGTTATTTCTATCTAAAATAAAATGAATCTCTTCAATGAGCATTTTTTTGTATATTCGCTATGTTTCTATATTTCGTTTAAGATTTCATGTTATTGTAAATATTTCCTTGTTACATTTTACGCAGTCTAGTTTAAAGCAAACGAAGAGAGAACGATGTAAATATTTTAAACTATTCCTCTTCAGGTGATCAATATATATTTGTTTATTATTTATGAATATGTTATATGGTTAATATTGATTAAATACTAAGTATAAGTTAAATGTGCAAAATCGTTAAACACTGTATTTGACAAAAAGAAAACTTAGAAGCCTAATGCTTTTAAATATCCACCGAGAGGACTACATGTATTAGCAACATATACGACATTTAAAGCGTTGATTTTATTAAGCAGGAATCATGAAAATCTCCCAGCATCTAAAAACACTTTTTATAATCCTTAATGTTATTTTATGTTGCCATGGAGATTTGAAAGCTGGATATTCTTCCATACAATATGGCTACAGACTTCTGTATAGACTTATAGAATCTTACGTGAACTATAGCATACTGGACTGTGTAGAAGAGTGTCTGAGAACGAAAAGGTGCAGATCGGTCAATTATTACAAAGGCGCCAACTTCTGTGAAATAAATTTTAGAAGAAAAGAAAATAATCAAAAGCTCTACAGAGAGGCTTCGGGCTGGTTATACACTGACATACAGTACTGGGATAAGGTAAATATCTTTGTATTGTCTATTCAGAGAGAGAGGAGAGAGGTGAAATGCAGATAAGGAAGGGAATTGAATTTCAATACACACTTTACGATACATTTACTTCTTCAAGAATCTGTGTACACTGTATTTTTCATGCGATAGTCTACACTACATTTATATAATAATCATTTAATTAAATTTTGAAATTAAAATTAGTCGTATAAGTTTGACATTGAAATTGGCAAAGTCCTTTCATTGTGTAATTTGTTGGAGAACACATTATCAACATCAAATAAATACATGTACCTATATGACTGGAATTTTTTTTTACAAGAAATACAAAATGTTTATATGAAAGTAAATAGAATGTACACAATGAAGAGCGGATGTTAGTGAAGTATGACAATAGCTAATATACATATGTGACTTTACACGGTTAATGAAAATGCAGAGCTGCCAACTCTTACGATATTGGCGTAAGTCTTACGAAATTAGCATCTAAAATACGCCGTACGATTTCTCTCCATATTCTTCCGATTTTGGTTTTTCTTGATCAAAATTATACCAGAATTTTCATAGCTGGCCATTTACAGATTCTACTATTCTAGTTAAATATTCATAATCATTACAATGCTTGCTTGTGTTGATGCTTGCTTGTGTTGGTGTTTCGGTTTTAGAAGGCCGATCATATTCATGTCAATGTTTTATAGTAAACGAAAAAGAAACATGCCTCAAATTTCGCCTATTACATGTCCATTTACAAAATATTGCCAGCGGCCTGGGGCTTAGGCGGTTCCCGGACCCCCCCCCCACCCCCCCGAACTATTTGTCATTTCAGAATGTTGGCAGCTTTGAACATGCGTAAGAGCTCTCCCCCCTTATCCTTACCATTTGTTTTATTTCGTCGAAGATTGATAGACTGAGTGTATGTCGTTTCACGTCCCACCAATTGTTTCACTCATATGGAGACGCCAACACTTGCCGGTAGAGAGCTATAAATTGTATCCTTTACTCGGCAATAAGAGCCATCGAGCAGTGATGGATCTTTTTTGTGTCAGCACCTACTGCAAACGGATACTTCGGTTGATATGGACTTATCCGAAGGACAGATCTCCACGTCCAATTACAGTTTGATTCGAACCTGCGAGGAAAGGATCAACTCCAAAATTCTGGGTCTAAACACTCGCTCTGTCTGAAAACCAGTTCAAACGTATACTTTATACACATAATTTTCATTTATAATTAATTGCCCCAATGAAAAAAGCTGACGACATTAACGTCATTAAGATGCAAAGTATCACGGTCAACGTCAACGCAGTATTCTCTTCTTTTGTCAAAACCATTTGTTCTTGTTTTATCGTGGAAGTTCGTCTCCTACATTTGCAAAATTTCATTACTATTCATCTGTTGAACAGGAATTATCTCAATTTACATCAGTAATTTTCAGGTTCATAATTTCATTATTTTTCTCTGGTGAACAACTTAATAACATCCATTTATGTCAATAATTTTCAGTTTCAATTTTTTTTTCTGTTGAAAAAGAATTTTCTCTTTTTTTAAATATACGTTTTAGGTTCTCGCGGGATCTTGTGCAGGACCACCCTGTAAAAAAAACTATGAAAAATGCATCCCCAAACCTTTTGGACAATATGAATGCGTTTTGTCAGGTGAGATTTCCAAGAAATCGTTAAATATTAAATTTTGAAAGTAAAATAGAAGAGATGTCATTGAAAAACGAAAATGCATTTTATTTATACACCTCCCAGCCCCTCTAGGCGATAAACTCGCTTGAAGTGAATTTTCAGCAATCCAACAAATAATTCTAATCAAGCGAGTGATTCACTTGTAGAGAGATTGAACAATGAGGGAAAGCTGAAAAATTCTCCCCAAAAGTGCACAAGAAATCGCTCCGTAAATTGTACCTGTTTTGCCTTACGGGATCTGTAGAGTGATAGTTAGAGGCTAATATAAGTATAATACTGCTGCTATAATGAAGTGGAAATGCATTTATTCTCTTTAAAAATCTTGTCTAATACCCTGTGTTGAGCAGATGAATAAATAACTTTATTGCATAATATACCCATATGGGTCGAGGAATACAATCCATCTTTAAAAAAAACAAAGAAACAAAAGAGAACAATGATTTATACATACAATAGATTAAGGAAATATAATTTCCTCAATGTTACACCGATATGAACCTTTTATTTCTCAATTCTAATGAATGTTTCATACAAAGTGCATTTGTGATGGATGAGGGTGCTCCTTTCTAATAACTTCCTGTCCCAGGATGAGCGGCTTCTGTTTCTCATTGGGGGTGCTCTATTGATTATGATTGTTTCTCGAAGATGGCTGGGACAATCTTCCTGAAACTTTCCCAAATAGACGATAAGTAGTTGAAGTTTTGCAGTGATGTCCAGCTTTAGAATCGCTACCATGGAAAGGTGCGAAAAGTGACGAATTTAAGGTCTTTTTTTAAAACGGGCGGGCGACACATTGATATTATTTTGTCCGGGAGTGTTCTCTCTGTTCCCTTGAACAATCATCATGAAACTTTGTTATATTAATGATTATTTATTGAAGTTGTGCGATTCGCATTTAAACATTTCAAATTATCAATAATTGCCATGGAAATAGGGGAACGGTTTGGGGTGACATATGTTATGCATGCAATAGCAGAATCTCTAGTTTAGATAACTTTTATTAATTCTTTGGTGTAAAGGTAGAGCTGTGTTCAGTCTGTACTGAAAATGCATTTTTTGAAAATCTTCTCTGTTCCAACAAACAAAATAAATGTTTTAATAAGCAATCATTTTTAAACACCTGGACCATATGGGCAAGTGTTCTTGTCCGAATAAATAAAAGATAAATAAAATATGAGACAAAATATTTTTTAAAATATTCTTAAGACCAATCAATTGATCTTACTTTTTGTAATTCCCGCTTGAAAAGTGGAAGGATATTTAGTAATCGGTATGTCCGTCCGTCTGTCTGTTAGCTTTTTTTAATGTAACTGTTAAGATGAGTAAATTTAATAGAATTTTTTATCAGATTGTGGGATCCCTGTCAATAAAATTAATACTACGTGGGATGTACATGAATGGGACGGAATTGGAATAAGAAAACGAATACATATTAAATGCTTGGAATCCTTTAAACAGCGAGGATCCGGAATGATCGTGTGCCATAAAAATGGGACCTGGATAACGGATTTGGTTTGTCAAGGTTTGAAAAAAAAATGTTTATATTGTCGTTTAAAAAAGTATTTAGTTTTTTAATGATCTATTTCTTAGATTCTTATCTAATATGATATATGTATGGTTACCTATTATAATAAACGAGAGGCCCAAGGCCACCTCACTCACCCGAGGTGTGAAATATGAGTGAAAAATGAAGTTAAGTTGGTTTGAGAGGATACCAAGGCTTTTCTTGAGAAAAAAATGGAGATAAGGGCAGCATTTTGTAGAATTGCGTATTCGAATAGGACATAAGGGTGAAATGCTTCTGTGACGTGACATATCTAACGACGTAACGTCGAAGTCTCCCGCGGGTATCACAACTATCCATTTTCAGAAAGCTCGTGTGACCTAATTGGTCATTGAAAAGTAGTGAAAATTTCCAATCTTGTTGCATTATGACTCTATATTATGATTATACCTGTTGTTTGCTTTCATCAAATCACGATGACATTTTGTAAAGAAATTCTACAAACTTTTGGATCAACGCTCGTATCAGTGTAAAACTTTGAGTCCTAAGTAAGACCCTTCCTTATCCCCGGGTATCATAATCTGATTATATTAAGGTCTTACGACACATTCCTCAAACGTATTTTATCAACAATTATTCATATTTGTCACTCTCTTCTGATTTTAGCATTTTTCAAAATGTTTTTAAATACAGGTACATCAAAAATGGTGATATGGCCATGAAGAAGATTACCCATAATGGTAATAAAAAAAAATATGATCCTGTGGTATCTTGTCCAAATGCCTGCTGATGTACCATAATTTTTGTGAGGAATCTCGTATAAGTACCTATTCTTTAATAACGCAATCCTAGGAAAAATTATCTATTTCTTTTAGAAACGTGTCGTCTGACCTTAAATATGAATCTACCCAAACAGGGAATGTTTCCATGCCACAATGGCGTGACATGGGTTTTTATTCTCGAGATTCCTCCCTTTATTAACATTAAAATTAAAACATTGATCCTACATACTGGCCCCCTTCCTCTTGGGATCCTCATTATATCTGAATATATATTGAATAGGTATCGGAACCGGGGATGGAGGCACTTTTTTTTTCAAAGGTAGATGAAATGTAGAGATTGAATATTGGGGACTTAGGTTAAACCCCTCATCCCCATCCAACTTTCAACAAGCACATTGCAGTTTACGTCAAAATAGGATACTTGGTAATGTATTAACAAAAATGGTGCTGAAAGACGTTCGATGCTACTCCCCCAAGAAATAAGATTCCTGTGTTTGTACAAGAATATGTAGAAGAGTACTAGTTTTTCTGGGAAGGTTAGAATTTTTTTCTCTTTCAATAAGCTACCACTAATTTCATTTTGCTTCCGACGCCAATAAACTGACCGAGAAGAAATATTGCTGAAAAGTTGTTGACATGATAATGTGTTGAAGTTAATGTATTATCTCGGAATATTTTCATAAGTAGGCATATCTGATTTCCTGCATTTTGAATACATTATTTAACATTTCTCTTAAAGATATTTAATGCAGAAAAAAATCATTATTTTCAGTAAAATATAATTGAAGTAAGCAAAGTCATTCAAATTGCATTTAAACATTTAAATTGTAATTTTTTTTATCAATTTTTCTGTCATTATAATGATATTAAATAATATATATGTAATGATATTAAACAATTAGTTATGACTTTATGGAGGGAGAGTTGAACATGTAATGACAATAAATGAAATGTCGCATTTCCCCAATTGAATAAATGGTTGCCAGTTATTTACGGTCATCTCTGTTTTAGCGTCCTTTTTTACCGTAGCAATAAAATGTTGCAGGACTTTTTATCATTATGATACAATCAATCAATACTATCGGCCAGTCACTTCATACATATATGATGAATAATTAACTTACTATGAACGGTTTTCTAAAAAGAAATTGAAGCCCATCATACACGAAAGAAGCAATATTATACAAATCCTATCGGCCAGTCACCTCATACATATATGATGAAGGATTAAATATCAACCGTTTTCTGAAAAGAAATTAGAGCCTATCATATAGAAAAGAAGCAATATTATATCAATATTATCGACCCGTCACTGAATACATATATGACGGAGCTTAAGAATTAAATATCAACATTTTTCTGAAAAGAAATTTAAGCCCATCATACAAGAAAAAAGCATTATTATATCAATACTATCGGCCAGTCACTTAATACATATATGATGGAGGATTAGATATCAACATTTTTAAGGTCACCTGAGTTAACTCAGGTGACCTACTGCTATCCGTTTTCGTCCGTCGTTGTGCGTTAACATTTGAACATATTCAGCTTCTTCTCATCCACCACTGAACCAATTTCACCCAAATTTGGCATAAAGCATTTATGGGTAAAGGGGAACAACAATTTTGAATGTCATGATCCCTGTCTCCCTGGGGCCTGAGGGGTGAGACCAAAACAACTAAAATTAATGCAATTTTTAAAAACCTTTTCGTTACTCCTGGACATCAAGAAGTCATACTGTTTTTATGATTGTAATAAGCATTGAGTCCTTTACCAAAATTGTGAAGGTCATGGCCCTGGGGTTCTAATGCTAAGCCGGGCTAAAACGAGAATATAGTTAAAATGCATTATTTCTTTGAAAATCTTCTTCTCTGCTTCTGGGTATTAAATAATCTACAGTAACTATTTGCATAGTTTTGATGAGCAAGGTTGCCTCTGCTGAAATCGTGAATTTTATGGCCCCAGGGTCAGGGGTTTTGGTTTTAGGGCAGGGTTCTATTTATTATATAGTGAAAATACATTAACTCTCTGAAAATCTTCTTCTCTGCTCCTAGGTATTAAGCAGATGAACTTCCTAGTTATGATGATCAAGGGCCCTAATCTTCAAGAATTGTGAATTTCAATTTCTTATCCATTGAAAATGAATGTATTGTTTGAAATCTACTCATTGGTTTTAATCATTTTTTTTAAAGCAAGGGTGACTTTTCAAAAAGTGTACAATGTGTGGACAACAGGCACTTGTTTCTGTAATAAATTTTGACCCAAAGTATAATAATAACACAAGGTATTTAACTCCGATTTACACCGAGTAACCCCCTCCTTTAGAATCGTGCTCATCAACACAAATAGAGGAAATGCACGGGTAAACTGTTTATACCTATGTCTTTACGATAATTAATTTACACACCATATCTGGCATGCTTGTCTTTATTTACTTTTATCTCCGTAATCAGTTTCCAAACTCTGCACTTTTTTGTGCGCAATAAATATACAGTTTTTTTCAATGGGTGGCACTGTAGCCTCCGGTGTATCAATATATATTTTTTCGGAGATCTACATTTCTGCAGCTAATTATTTTGTTAAGTTCTATTGCCGATACAATGACCTTGTCAGCAAATACAATGAAACATGGAGATAAAGAACAGTATTCAAGATCAAAAGTCAACAAACTCAAATATAAGAAAATAATTTTTCATTGAGTAAGATGTTGACTGGCGTGTTTAAGGTCTTCTGGACAGAGATCAGAAGAGCTTATGCGAAAGTAATGCGTCCGTCCGTCCATCTGTCTGTGTAAACAGTTTTTCAAAAAGCTCGCAAGTAGGTTAAGGTTACAACCAAATATTCTACTTGCCTATATGATATGACGTCATAGTAAGCTATATGACGTGAAGTTTAGAGATAACAATTTCTTATAATCGATATCTAAGATTGATTTGAGGTCGTAAAAATTAATCAAAATATGCAGAGGCATTACACAAACAGAATTTTGTCGTTTCTGGGACTCTGTAGTTATCACAGGGGTTAAATACCAAACCCGTGACGTCATAACTGTTGATCATGCAGTAGCAGAGTGAAATTGAAACGTAACGAGAATTTATGTAAACAAACACAAGAAATCGGAGTTTAAAAGCATTTAGAATGAATATCATGTGTGATTCATGTGGGAATAAAGCTTATGAATAAGGTATGGTAATATACTTTAAAAATTTCTTCGTAAAATTAAAGCAGGGAAGGTGTTTAGGCCTACTTGCCGATCAGCCTTTCCTCTGTCGTTCGTAACAAATAAGATGCAAAAGTTCAACACTACGCGGCACACTTTGAAACTTAATTTTTGTTTCTATCTAAAGTTCTTATTCTATTGTTTTTGAAAAGTGCTGCTAGAATCGTATGGTTTACGGGAATAAATGCATGTTTTCGATGCTATGAACAAAATGTAAAAATTTTGGGAACGTTTTGTCAGAAAGTGTTGAATTATTATTTCTGTGATAGGACAGTAGGATTCTAGCAGCACTTTTCATGGTACAGAGATGTTTTTACATAATTATTATTACAAATTGAAATTAATTATCCCCGGGGTAGTGTTGAACTTTTCACTTTTTCATTAAGGCATATTTTCTAATTATAGACGTCACGTGGTGACGTCGTGGTGAAGTGCTTCATGTAGTATAAGTCCCATGGAAGTCTATAGAATGCATAATTATAACAAAAGTTTTATGCTTGACTTTTCCGATTTATTAGTGTTACATTAATATAAAAAAAGTCTTAATTCGCCGAATTCTGGTCCATGTGCTGCCTTAACATACCCGCTAGCTAGTCTTCCTACAGTTTTGGTCCGATTTCAATATAACTTGGCACACAAGTAGACTACACTAAGATACATTATTCTGTGCATCGGTTTTTGTTTTCGATGAACGGTGTTGGAATGGTTACCCAAAATAGAAATTTCTGTGAAATGCTTTCAAAATGCTACTCCTCCTAGAGTTTGGTCTGATTTCAATATTACTTGGCACACAAGTAAACTACACTAAGATACATAATTCTGTGCATCGGTTTTTGCTTTCGATGAACGGTGTTTGCGTGGTTACTAACCAGAAGTCTCTGTCTAGACTGTAGCTCTACTGGTTTCTACTAATAACTAAAGATGAGAAAAGAAGCCATTGCCATCAGACCAAAACTGTAGAAGGAGTAGCGTTTTAAAGGAATTTCACAGAAAATTCTATTTTTAGTAACAATGGCAACACTGTTCATCGAAATCAAAAACCGATGCACAATTTTATGTATCTTAGTGTGGTCTACTTGTGTGCCAAGTTATATTGAAATCAGACCAAAACTGTAGGAGGAGTAGCATTTTAAATGAATTTCACTGAAAATTCTATTTTTAGTAACCATGGCAACACCGTTCATCGAAATCAAAAGCCGATATGTTTGTGTAGTCTACTTGTGTGCCAAGTCATATTGAAATCAGATTAAAACTATAGGAGGAGTAGCATTTTCAAGGAATTTCAAAGAAAATTTTATTTTTAGTAACCATGGCAACACCGTTCATTGAAATCAAAAGCCGATGCACTATTTTATGTATCTTAGTGTAGTCTACTTGTGTGCCAAGTTATATTAAAATCAGACCAAAACTGTAGGAGGAGTAGCTTTTTGAAAAAAAAATGTTTACAGACAGACGGACAGCTAGACAGACGGACGGACGACGAACACCTTACTATCGCATAAGCTCTTCTGGTCTCTACCAGTAGAGCTAAAAATAGAAATTTCTGTGAAATTCTTTCAAAATGCTACTCTTCCTATAGATTTAATCCGATTTCAGTATAACTTGGCACACATGTAGACTACACTAAGATATATAATTCTGTGCATCGGTTTTTGCTTTCGATGAACGGTGTTGCCATGGTTACTAAAAATAGAAATTTCTGTGAAATTCTTACCAAATGCTACTCAATCTACAGTTTTGGCGTGATTTCAATATAACTTGGAACACAAGTAGACTATACTAAGATACATAATTCTGTGCATCGGTTTATAGTTTATGAGTGCCAAGGATCATTTTTATACCCCCCGCTTGAAAAGCGGGAGGGTATATAGTAATCGTTAATTCCGTCCGTCTGTACGTCTGTCCGTCCGTCCGTCCGTCCGTCCGTCCGTCCGTCCTTCCGTCTGTCCGTCCGTCCGTCTGTTACGCTTTGGGGTACCCATCTCTTATCCGCAACTCCTCTTATACCACTGAATGAAATTTGATGCAACTTTCACAGAATCTTTATTACATATTGCCATTGTGCACCTCCTATTTTACTTTTTGATCGGACACATATTTTGGGTTTCCCGGCCACAGGAAAACATGGACTTTTTCACCAGTTATAACCATATGGGAGGCGGGGGGTATCATTTAGTGAGCTCATCGCTCACAGTACCTCTAGTTTCTATTTATTGTTTTTTTCAATTTTCAAGTCCTAACTGATACTTCGTCTTCCTTTGTTTAAGTATAAACCAGTAGAGCTACAGTCTCGACAGAGACTTCTGGTTATACTAATTCTTAGGCTATTATTCTTAGGCTATTATTTATACCTTGAATTGACGACGGATTTTTTTATGACAAGGAGTATACGGCTTGTGCCCGGTCGACAGGGAATGTTCATTCCTTTATGGCACCTATCCCAACTCAGATGTTTTGGAGGTCCGTGTTTGCTCAGCTGTAATTTTGTATTGTTTGTTATATTTACTACATAGTAACTATAACATAATTATGTATAATTCCCTACTTATAATGACTTGTGTCTGTTATCTTATTCTATATACACTTACAAAATCCATTTTAGAAACAACCTGTATCAAATGCATTTTCCTATTATTCATTTCTGCTTTAGCTAAAGACTGTATGGGCCTTCGTGAAAATGGCCATACTGATTCCGGTGTATACGAGATTTACCCCTTTGGTACCGACCCCCGTCCTGTCAGAGTGTACTGTGACATGAACACAATGGGAGGAGGCTGGACGGTATTTATTCCAGACCTATTTATTAAAAAGTGACGCATAAGATCAGAGTACAGATTTATATTTTGATCTTATTTAGTCCGTGATAGACACACAAAAAACATATAAAAGTTTTGCACAAGAATGATTATAGATAAATGTATTTCTTTGAAAGGCAATCCAAAATCGTGTTAATGGATCCGTGAGCTTTGAGAGAATCTGGGATGAATACAAGAAGGGATTCGGTGATGCGGGACAAGATTTCTGGATCGGTAATTATTAAATAAATTGAAAAAAATATCCAAACTCGTCCTTTTTCTTCCAGTCGAGAGAGCAAAACAAAGGTCCGGTGATTTTTAAATTGTATAGTACTTTGGAAACGATATTCATTTTCTCGTGTAATTCAATTCTTAAAGGGAGACCAGAGATAACGTCAAAATAAAATTCTGAACAATAGTTTGACAATACTTAAAAAGTCTTAATTATCAATACAACCTAAATGTCTCACACTTGAAGTTTCAAAGTATGCTTTAGGAGTAAAACGCCGGTAGCATTAGACCAATACACGTATAATTTAACTCTTTCTCAATACATCATTTATTATTTACTGGTATTATTAGTTACACAGTCAGTTAGTGACCTAATACGGAGTCATACAGGGTGAAATGGAAATCCGTATTGGGCGAGGCGAAGCCGAGTCCTAATACGGATTTCAATTTCACACCCTTTTTGACTCCGTTTTAGGTCACTAACTGATTTGGTTACGAATTTATACCGCTGAAGACCTTCTTAAATATTTTTAAAAATCTTTGTGCATATAATGAAAATATCAACTTTTAGTCCAATAACAATCAACGTAAAATATCGTAACAAGAAACTTAAGTAATCAAACGACATGTACCTACGTAAACCGTTTCTTAGCCGCCATTTTTATTTACAATAACAACGCTTCGAACGGAATTGAGTACCCGATTTCATATTACTCCTTGACGGCGACGTAATACGGAAAATTTCTGGCCGTCATATGGTTAGCTTTTATCCAATCAGTAATTCACAAATTTGTCTGAAGCTTGATAATGCCGTTTACGCATTTTTAATTTTGATATATGTTACTCAGGAAATGACGTGATCCACCAGTTAACAAAGGAAAAGACCTCAAGTCTGTACATTTCCATCACTCTGGTTAATGGTAGCAAACTATACGAGTTGTACCACCAGTTCTCGGTTTCAAATGAAGCAGATAACTATCAACTTTTTCTGGCGGGGGATGCCTCCGGAACCCTAGGTACTTAGAAATTAGTCTTACTTCATAAACAAGAAAGAGAGAGAGAAATGTGTAGAATTATACTATATTAAACTTATAAATGAAAGAAACATGAATGTCTTTATAAAGTAGCTTTGTAAGGCCATTTAAAAAACCGTTTGGTTACCCTCTCACGTTCGACTGGCTTAAAATGGCTCGACTCAAATATTTGGTAACTTTCAGGAAGCATTTGTTTTATGCAAATTTCAATAAAAACATTTTCTGAGGAAAACATTCTCACCGACCTATCGACCAAATATTTTCAGAAGAAGTTGGAAGAGTGATGTAAAACAAACATTGTAAAGTTAGCTTAATATAATTTTCCAGGTGACAGTATGATGCACACAGACTTATATTACACGAATCTGCCTGGAATGAAATTCTCGACGTTTGACAGAGATAACGATCGGTGGAGTGGTGGAAGCTGTAGCTCTCGTGCCAAAGGAGGCTGGTGGTTCAACAATTGTTACAGTGCCTTCCTGAACGGTCCTTGGTCTCTAGACTCGTGGTTTGGGCTTTGGTTTCCCACAGTTACGAACGGGACATCCGTCTGCGAAACACAAATGATGATCAGACGTCATTAGGTGACATGTGATAAAACATTCAAAATTTTCTTCTTAATTTCATGTCACTGTGGCTTACAACCTGATACGAAGGTTATTACTTCCCATGCAGTAAAATGGCGTCTGGTCTGCAAGAGTGCCTTTTTAATTCAAAGAAGTAAAATTCTTTCTACTGTATTTGGCGTTCAGTGGTTTTCATACACTCTCTGAGTAAGAGAAGTTAAAAATGTCTTCATTTATTTATTTTCTTACATTGACAGCTGATGATTTGATGGGACTTAATAAAAGCTCTCGGAACTATTCCCATGAAATAGTCCTTTAAATTATAGCCTCTACATCTGTACCGAGAAACCCTAGTCCACTAATTTAATATTTTTGGTTTAATTTTTATGCGCCCGAATCGAAAGATCCGAGGCATATATTGTTTTTGTCCTGTCTGTCTGTCTGTCTTTTTGTCTGTTTGTCTGCAAACTTTAACCTTCGCCATAACTTTTGAACCATGAATATTAGATACTTTACATTTGGTATGCCTACTCCACTAATAAAGCTCTTTTAAATGACATCAAGGTCAATGACCTTGTGAACTTAACTGTGACCTGTATGCTAAAAATAGAGGAATTTTTGCAAACTTTAACCTTTGCCATAATTTTTGAACCATAAATGATAGATTTCATATTTGGTATACATACAACACTTATTCAGCTCTTTTAAAAGACACCACAGTCAATGACCTTGTGACCTTGACTGGGCTATACGCTAAATATAGCTTTTTTGACGGCAAACTTTAACCTTCGCCATAACTTTTGAACGAAGAAAAATAGAGACTTAATATTTGGCATGCATTCTCCACTAATGAAGCCCTTTCACACGACACCAAGGTAAATGACCTTGTGACCTTGACTGTGTCATATGCTAAAAATAGCTTTCTTGAACTTTAAGCATAACTTTTGAACCATGAAAGATAGAGACTTCATATTTGGTATGCATATTTCACTTATCAAGATCTTTCAAATGACACCAAGATCAATGACCTTTTGACCTTCACTGTGACCTTTACGCTAAAAATATGTTTTTTAAATTTGTTGCCGCCGGGCGCATAGTGTTTCACAAACACATCTTGTCCTAGTATGAAATCAACTTGTTTACAAACTCTGGGAGATTGGGTATAACAAGAGAGCGTCTTCATTTGATGGACTATTAGTTTTTATGATGTGTTGTTCCCGAACATAGACACTTCCAATTAGACTTTGTGCAAAGCTTCAGCCATCTAATTAACTGAAGAATGTGCAGGGTACACAATGTTAATGTAAACTGTGGACATTGCTGTGCCCTATAAGGAGATGGGAGACGGAGCTTCAGTAAGGGGCAGACTATATTAATATTAATGAAGTGCCACTCTGACTCACTAATTGCAATTACCATATACGTGATCCCTATGATGCAGCTTCTTGTACAAAAGACGTGTGCACTGAGTATCAATAGCTCCGAGACGGACTATGAGAGCTTTTAACATCTTAGCTCCGAGACGAACTATGAGAGTCTTGACGAACTTAGCTCTAAGACCTTTGTGAAACAATAACTTCTAGATTTCCCCATCTTGGCTCCGAGATCTTTGTAATTGAACTTTTCATGTACCATTGTTTTTGCCTTTGCTGTGACTATATAATAAAACTATAAACTTACAAAGTCTTCTTAATCCAAACACATTTGTTAATTATGTTATATATATAACGCATTAATTGGTGCCATGGACCAGGACCAGAACGGGAAATCTCTCAACGCTGAAAAGCGAAAGACACTCAAGACTACTGTAAGTAACTGTTTTATTGTACCTTGATTTTAAAGTATTGACAACCAAGACATGTTGAACCGTTTTGACTTGGGAGGTGCCTTTACGACCTTGTCGACTAATAGGAACTAAATTCGACGGTCTTGATTTTATAGTTAAAGGTTTATCAAATGCAGTTGGTACAAATAGGATTTCAAACATAATAATACCGTATGAGGGGGATCCTGGCAAATTTAAAGATTGGATAAAATCAGTTGAAAAATATTCTTTCATGAACAATTTATCAGATGAAAAGGTCACGAATTCTCCCGAATAACCCAAGGGGGACCTGGAAGGCTTTGAAAAATGATTTATCCACACGATTTGCTGAAGTAATAGATTCTCAGCATGCGTTCATTTTATTACGAAAATTTCACCAAAAACCCGAAGAAAATGTTCTGATTTTTGCCGAAAGATTATTGTCATTGGCCGAAGAAGCATATAAAGGTCTCGAAGGAGGACCTTCAGTTGAACGTCAATTGATCGGAATATTTGTCGATGGCTTATTACAAGACAAATTGACATTCAAGGTCATGCGTGAAAACCCTGCAACTTTGCAAGCAGCTATAAACTGTGCTATGGCTGAACAAAACCTGAAATCGAAATCAGTTCGGGTACTTAACAGACCCATATACCCATGAAGGTCGACCATTATAGATCTAAACGCCTTTCAAAAACAATACCAGAGAGAAAAAGTATTTATTCAGTAAAACGAGCAACAAACTATCAGAGTGTTGAATGTTGGAATTTTGGAAATAAAGGACACATTAAAGTTGTTAACATAGGTAATCAGATATTACAGAGCTTATCTCAACGAATGTTGTCTTTAAGTAAGACAAAGTCACACAATTAACCAACAAAATGTGTACATCCAAAAATGCAAAATTTATGCAATTTTGATTTGATACTATGGAATAGACCTATATAAAAACTTCAAACTAGTTCATCATCATGAAAACTATGGGAAGTCAAACGTTGCAATGTTCGATCTTTTCCATTTGTATTGTAAAATTTTCTATTTGTATTGTATAATTTTCCATTTGTATTGTATATTTTTTTTTTATTTGTATTCTATAATTTTTCATTTGTATTGTATAATTTTTATTTGTATTCTATAATTTTCCATTTGTATTGTATAATTTTTCATTTGTATTCTATAATTTTTATTTGTATTCTATAATTTTCCATTTGTATTCTATAATTTTCCATTTGTATTGTATAATTTTTCATTTGTATTATATAATTTTTCATTTGTGTTTTATATTTATACCCCCGCTCCGAAGGAGAGGGGGGTATACTGGAAAAATCCGTCGTCAAATCAATGTGTAAATAATGGACCAACACAATTACATGTAGTATGAAAAAGTAATTCGCCAAAAATATCTTAGGTTTTCATGCTTTTTTTACGATTTTGATATTTATCTGCCTGGAATACATCAGATAGTGCCATTACGAAAACTGGGAATGTGCAGCCACCAGGCGGTATTCTGCAGAGGTGGCATTCTCGGATAAATTTTCGATACTTGGGAACGAATTGAATGCTGAATTTACAAGATATCATTAGTACATGTCGTTATTACACGTATGACACTTAAGGTATACTTTTACTCAGGATAACTCAAAATTCCACTGATAAGAACGAAAGACCACCTACTGCACATTGTACACCTATGATTCTTTTGTTAACAATTTTGAATAACTAGGTCAAAGACCTACTTTTCATGCTAGTAAACCTCCAGTATTTCTCCGAAAATAACTCAATTTCCACATTATGACCATTTTTTTCTTTACTCACAAAATATTACAAGCAATACAACTCTTTAAATAATGAAGTATAGCAGGAGAACAGCTTTGCTTCATATAAAATAAAAAGATAAAAGAGTTTGGGACATAAACTTATTAATTATTAGGGTCCGAATTTCCTCTGTCATATTTTTATTTTTCCCCATTTTGAATTGAATATGAATGATAAGAACTCCAAATTACTTATAGCTTCAGGTTACTTTTGTTGCCATAATTCTTATGGTATTAATTTGAAATAAAAATGTCAAAAGTTGAATCCAAAGAATTTATCGATCTTTTATCTCTCAAATGAAATTGTTTTTATTTAATCATTTTCTTTTAATGAAATTTTAAAACTTAATGATCATTTATATGTGTAATACAGCTGTGATAAAGATCATATGGGAGGTTATTGACATGGATCTTGCCAAACTCCTTGGCTATCGGTCCCCAAAAGCATTCGGTCATGCCTTGACGCTAATGACCATCATAAGGCTATGCAGTTTATAGAGATTCTGCTTTTTGGTACAGGTCAGTTCATAAAATGAGCTTGATAAATTATGCACAAGGGCGCTCATGCACAATGCGAATTTAATATTTTTTATCAGTAAAATCTAATTAATTTAATTTCCCCTTAACTAAATTGATAATTTAATTTTGTAAATATAGGGGATGAATTACTGCATCCATACGTGAAGGAATGCTATGAAACACATGTCAAACCTTCAGCCACCGATTATTTTAATGGTGCCAGGGTATACAGGATCCAAATTACAAGTATATAGTTTATCAATGTGTGTCAGTTTATACAAGAAATATTACAAATACATATCATTATATCTCTTAATATTTTTTACAATTATATAGGTTTCTATTGGAAGCCATTTTTAGCTCTACTGGTCAGAGACCAGAAGAGCTTATGCGATAGTAATGCGTCCGGCGTCTGTCTGTCTGTAAACAATTTTTCAAAATGCTACTCCTCCTACAGTTTTGGTCTAATTTCAATATAACTTGGCACACAAGTAGACCACACTTAGATACATAATTCTGTGTATTGGTTTTTGATTTCGATAACGGTGTTGCCGAGGTTACTAAATATAGAAATTTCTGTGAAATTCTTTCATATTGCTACTCCTCCTACAGTTTTGGTCTGATTTCAATATAACTTGGCACACAAGTAGACTACACTAAGATACATAATTCTGAATATCGGTTTTGGATTTTGATAAACGGTGTTGCCGTGGTAACTAAAAAGTGAAATTTCTGTGAAATTTCTTTCAAAATGCTACTCCTCCTACAGTTTTGGTCTGATTTCAATATAACTTGGCAAACAAGTAGACTACACTAAAATACATAATTCTGTGTATTGGTTTTGGATTTTGATAAACGGTGTTGCCGTGGTTACTAAAAATAGAAATTTCTGTGAAATTCTTTCAAAATGCTGCTCCTCCTATAGTTTTGGACTGATTTCAATGTAACTTGACACACAAGTAGACTACACTAAGAACATAAAGATACTTTATCAAGGATCATTATTCTATTTATTGCTGTTGTAAAGTTTCAATTCCCAACTGCTTAAGTACTTTTCTCTTCCTTTGCTATAAGTACAAACCAGCAAAGCTTCAGTCTCGACAGAGACTTCTGGTCTTTATAACAGAAGAAGAATTAAAGAAATAACCAGTACAGTGGTCATGAACCTAGTACCCACACCAAACTTTGTTACACCCCACCCAGTGTCCCTTATCTCCATCTGAAAGGCAGATATTGCATGTATCTGCTACTTTCGTCCTCACACAATCAGTCTGGATTGCCTTCTCCCGTCTTTTTCTCTTCCTGCTGATCAGTGTGGGTAAACCTAGGTCGGAGTTTTCTTGTGGAGGTGGGTGAATTTCAGCTTGAATAGTGCGGACGGAATTAGTAACAGAGGATTTATGAGGTTTGGGGGATGGAAAAGAAGCCGTTGGAGAGGAGACAGAGGGGGTTTGTGCAGATGAAATTGGAGAGTGGGGTAATAGATGACGAGGGTGGAGCTGTGTTAGAAGACAAAGATAGCACTGGGCAGATGGGAGTTTAGGAGAGGGTTGAAGGAATAGATTCACTATTAAAATGCACATTCAGACTGCTCTTTTGAAGCACACCAGTCAAAGCCTCAAATTAATTTTAACTTTTACACTTTTTTATTTATTTGTGTTTAAGCATGTGCACCTTAATTCAAATAAAAAAAATTACAATAAGTTACCTCTTTAAATGATGGCGTTGAGAAAGTTGACATCTTTCCTGATGGAGATTTGATGACTATAAATAACTCACACTTAGTGAGATCTTGCAGTTCCTTTGCCTGAACGAAATGAAATGAAATTTTATTTCATTTATATGTCTTGAAAAAAAAAAAACACAACACATTTTAATGTCAAAATAATTTTTTCTACTAAAATTCCTACGTAAAGCGTCCAACTTAAATTCCTTTGTAATAGGGATAAAATATTTATTTTTTTTTAAATTTATTTATTTATCCATAGTATTTCATTTTATTTCATTATATTCATTCGATTAATTATTTTTTACTAAGATAAAAATAAAGAAGACGAGTTTAATTATTCTATTCTATTTAATCAATTGATTTATTGTTTTTCTTTTTTTATTTATTGTAGATTAAGAAAAATGTTAAAAAACAACTGAACATCAGAGATGAATCTGGGGATATTTATCACACCGATTTCCAGAATGAAATTCGTCGGTGGCGAGCTGAATTGAGAGACTCAGATTATCTGTGCACCCCATTTCAGGAAAGAGAGCATACCAGCCTATCCAATAAAACACTGGAAAAAGATCTGATAAATTTCTCTAAAAAACGCAAACAGAACAAATCACTCTACTTACAGGAAACTTTCAAGAGAAATTCTTTAAATTTCTCTTCCGTTCCTTTAGAACCAATTTTTTTCAAACCATCAGACAGAACTACATTTAATTCTATTGAGAGTAAAACAAAAGCTGAAATTACGACAAAGATAGAAACCGTGATTGAGGAATTAATGGATTTGGATTTTGAAGTCGGTAAGCCTGATGTAAATTTCAGATCAAAATTAATAATCAATTTTTAATATTGCATACATTAAATACTTTAAGACATCAAACGTTATTGACATTTTCTTTTATTATTGTTTTCATAAGGAGAAGAAAAGGAAACGAAATGGAAGAAGCAAATAAGATGTGGCACGAAAGCGCTATACATCCAATTCTATAAAGAAATTTTGGAAATTTCAGAAAGTTTACCAGACATAAGAAATATTGAAGGTGAATATATTAATCATTTTTATGTGTATAAAATTTATATTTACTTTCTTCACGATGGTATTCTTTCTCTTGTAAACATCATTTGCCCTTCTTTGATCTTCTTCAATGTATCCTTCTGCTATTTTCCCCTTTCTTGGTCTTCCGCTCTTTTTCTGTCCTTTTCTGTTTTGTCCAGGGTTAATTTTACCATCCTATTCATTATTTTAAATAAATATTTCTTTTTTTAATCAAAATTATTTAAACTCTATGTATTAATGAAGAATAACACGAAATAATGAATACAAATTAAGTTTATTGTAGTTTACGATTAAACATTTTTCATACGGAAATTTCATATCAATATATGTATTCTTGACTCATTTAATCCTCCGTAGATTTTGGCCTGAAAGATGACGATTCGCCTGAATCCGCATCTGATATTTAGTTTTTTGCCGCCATTTCCCGATATTACATGGAGGATACAGAAAAAAAGATTTCGAAAAATCATTAAAAAATTGACACATAATTTGGAAGGTTTTGCGATTAACTATTCCGTACATTATATATAGGAAGATTATTATAGCATTCTTGAAATGGAAGCGACTTCGATGTAAACAAAAGCTGAACAGAAGATCATTTTGGCCGTACAACGACTAATTGATGTGGTAATGACCTATTTATTATGTTTAGAAGGTAAAATTAATTAACGAGTTAAAGGGTTTATGTTTTCTTTCTTTTTCAAACGATTTAATAGGCGTTTTAAAGGGGCTGGTTTAAATAAACACAGGTCCCTGGTCAAAGTGTTTTCATATAGTGTATACTTAATTACAGGGACGTACAGACAATGTATACTACCTGGTAAGTGTGTTTGAACCCCTTATGTGTTGTTTTAAGACTCTGGGGAGGTGCTAACGATGAGCAGGGTGTATACAGTTAGGTGTTTTTATAGTGACATAAAAATTAAAATTGTCAAGCTGCACAGAAGTGTGTTTCGTTATTGTCGTGATATTTTGCTATCAAAATGGCCTCAAAAGAGGACTTTTTGTCTTGAGATGATGATATTGATCTTGATGAACTTTTAGGTGATTACACAGACTACGATGACAATACTAGTGGCTCATCACCTGAGAAGAATCCACCACATGAACACCATGGTTACCAGTGTCCAGAATGTAACAAAATCCTTAAAACCATCTCTGGTTTTAGGGGTCATTTTACAAAACAACACAACAAACCCAGGATAAAAGGTAAATATATACAATCTACTTTAATCTGATATCAAGAATTCCATTAAGTTTTTTCAACTTGAATTTTCCTGTCATTAAATAATTTCTGTTATTAGAAATTAAGTCCCTATTATCACTATTTAAATCAACCACTTGGTAATTGAAAACTATTGTTTCTAATTTTAAGGAAAAAAACATACATATTCATTGTCTTCTTGTTACTAAATATGTACATTTTTATTTGTAGCCAGTGACCACAGAGCTAAAGAGCGGACATCACCAGTGAGTGAGAAAATAAAATTTGGGCCAACTTCAACTCCTGACTATGATGGGGTAATCCGTAATGCCAGCACCAGAACTCTTCAGAAGATTAAAGAAGATCCTATGTACCAGTTGTTCGGTGATACTGTGACTGTACGTCTTGCCATGTTCTGTGCCACCAAAGAATTCTTGGATTCCTTTTTCGTGAGCCATCTAACGGACATATTCAGTCTGAACTGGTGTCACAACCTTTCAATGGAGGTTTTCTATACCAAACTTCATGCCCTTAGATTATCAACCACCTTACAGTGCGACTGTGTAAAAAGAATTCATCGAAAGAGGCTGCACCGAGAAGAGTGAGGATATTGTGAACTTTCTTCAGGCGTACATTCTAAACCTGCCCTGTGAGATTGTGAACATTTTGCTTGAACAAAACAAAACAGTGTCTGAGCAACAGTCAAAGGAACTTTCCAAAAATGACCAGCAAATTCTGTTTTACATTTGTGGTTTCATTGTGAGAAGTCTAAAGAAGAAAAGCTTCAGGAAGAAGAAGGAAGACCGTGGCGAGCGACTGCAGATGCTGGAGAAGTTAACGTGTGAAAAAAACAATTCCAGTTTCATTGCCGAGTTTGACAAGTGGCTGACTAAAAGTAGTCGTGGTGGCTTATTGAGACCTACAGATGCATTCTACACTACTGTAGCTAAAAAGCACTGAGAATCCAACAAAACCCTGAGCAAGTACTGAGTGGTACTGAGAAAACCCTGAGTTGTACTGAGCGGCTGAGCCTGGTACTGAGTAACTGAGGAAGTCCTGAGTAGCACTGAGGTTTTTACTGTGTACACTGAGGACATACTGAGAGGTACTGAGGTTGACTCTGTTGGTACTGTGGAGGTACTGAGGGATACTGAGGTGGTTCTGAGGCTCTGAGCTGATACTGAGTAGCCCTGACTTTTAATACTGTTGCTACTGAGGTAATCCTGAGTGACACTGAGGCTATTTTTCTCAAAATTTGTTATTTTTATTATGAGACTTATTGTAATCTAATGTTCAAATTTCTTTATTTATAAACTTTCTTCAAATCAAAATGAGTAGGTACAAGTATCGTCAACAATAAAACTGACATTGTGTTTGCTTCTTGTTCATTTAATTAATTAAATCTTTTTCATAATTTCTTTTGAACTTTTACAAGGATATTTAATTAAGTCTTCTAGGCATATTTTTTAATGAAATATATATTATTTTTTTATTTATTTATTTATTTTTTATGTCAACCAATTAGTTAAATATTTATTATTTAGGAAATTTAGTTTTTCAAAATTTATCCAACCAATGTTAAACATTACGATAAATAGTAGTTCCTATCTAATAATTCTTGATCCACTACTGAAAATTTAATAAGTTACATTTCTGCTGTAATAATACAAAATCGTTAATGTCGTGAGGGTAATGGTAATGCTTCTGACGTATTCTACTGCATGGCATATATAAAAATTTCGTTGAGCAAGTCGCAATCACATTGACAGAAAAAAGTTTCAGCAAGTCTCAAAAACCTTTAACTTGAAAGTTGTTCGTTCCTGATGATCAAAATCATGAAAATAAATCAAAACAATTGTCTAAATATTGATATTAAATGAATAAAGAAATATTTCAAACAAAGACATTTTTCAATGGTATCTAATTAATTTAAGCAGAAATAGAGAAGAAATACGATGTGTCACAGATTAAATTTACAACTTATTTATTAGAAATAAATTTACTGTCAAATAAAATAATATTGCAAGATGTATTTTTACTGACTTTACCATTCATTGCGTATTTTTAATGCTATTAATATCATCAATATTTATGCTGTTGCTGCGGCATCTTAAACAGAAAATATTTAGAATTTCAAAATCATATCTCGTTTTCCATTGTTGTCATCTTCTCAATTTTGTATTTACTCCCACTCGGTGTAAATTCAATATGTAGAATATGACACTTAATTTACTGGGTCAGTAAAAACGTGTAGCTGTCACTTTGTAAATTTTGTATTCATTGTCACTCAGTTAATTCTTAATTTTACAACTTACAAATCATGAAAATAATTTGAATATAAACATGGGGATAGCTGAAAGTTTTGTTACATGGTGCTTGCATAATAAAATGAACATCGACAGCAGAAAATAATATTTAAGTTATAGTATATTTTTCTTTATGTCCAGGTTTTATTTTGAATAAGTTCGCAATTTATTTACATGTAGCACACATGCACATGATTTAAAAATTCTGCAAAGACTGAATGTTCTAAAAATTTAAAGAAGAAAGTAGTTAGAATCTTTAGAAGATCTCTATGTAAAACACATGGTGTAAACATGTAGTTATAATGATATCAAATAAATTGAAATAATACTGTCGTCGATTTTTTTGGTTGTCTATCTATGAGACTGAAAGCAAGTATACTCTGCGCTTGATTTACATGTACCGGGAATTTATCATTGTCATAGCTGCTCATACATGTTTTCTTCAAGAAATCAAATATAGAAAATGAAAATAGACTTCAACTCCACTGAATAAAAATCTTTTATTTTACTGGTTCTAATTACGCTACAGTATTTAATCGCTGTAATCAAGTCCTACTGCCGCTCGGTTAGAGTGCAGCAATAATAATTAATTGTCAAGAATAATTCAGTTAATGTAGACGTCCCTCCTATTGATACCCGTTTACAGTAAAATGAAGCATGTTTAACTCAAAATGTTTCTTTTATCTTCTTTTCATTTTGAAAAATAACTAATACCATCAGATTAAAAAACCCAAGCCATACTATGAACTCCATATAAAAATATAGCTTAATCGGAAACAGTTGTTTAATGTATAATTGTGAACAATAAAACGTTTTTTTTTTATTTATTAAAAGATGTTTTTTATTTAACACTGCGGCGTATTTAATTTCGTGAATATGGATATTGTACACAAACGGAAGCGCTTTGAAGTACTACACTGGCACTGACAAACGGAAGCTCTGTGAAGTAGTACTACACACACGGAAGCTCTGTGAATTTCACAATGCGGTAGCGAGAAACAAGAACAATAGGTGTCACTTCTGTATATATGCAGACGGGCACCTGCCGGATATCACTAGCAGTCAGTTACGCAATGTTGACCCGACAGCTAGACTCAGAACGAACCTTCAGAACAGCCTGACCCCTTTTTTTTCATTCTTTCTCATTTTTTTCATTACAGAAATTCATTGAAAAACACAGAAAGATTTATATTAAATTAGCGATGCATTCATAAATATTTTCTAAATAGTCCAACTGGTTTCAAGATTATATTCATATTTTTAAAGACTACATGAAGTTTTATCTCGAGTCTACTAATCCGAACAGTTTTAAACAAATAAATTATCTAAATATACTAGTACAGTTTCCCTGATTAATAAGAAGTTTTCTATAAGCGATAGACATTATTATCTCCCAGGATCCCCTTAAAAAAGGAATAATCAGAAATATGTCAGAAAGAAAGAAAAAAAAAAACAGTAGATTAGAAATTTCATTTTGATGAAAATGGCGAATATTTAATGTTTTACTTTGCTTTCCATAAAGCAAGAAATAGGGTTTCTTTATCTTAGACAGAATATATGTAAAATTTATTGTTTTATGATCTGATTTGCAATAATTTATTTACATACGTTACCCTTTTGTTAATATGACAGCTGCGATCTTTCCGTTTTCTTTACAAAGTTTTCTAATTATCCTATCATAGCAATAGTCGTAATAATTAACATCGTAATTGGAATCAATTTGTTGAATGTATCGGTTTCTCTTCACCATCCTTCATATATAGGATGTTTTTAAAACTTTTGCGAAATGCTCTCAATTCAGGAAGAGCGTGATTCACTGTTGTAAACGATCGGATGTCGCCATAAATTTCAGACATCGGGAAATAGCATCAAATTTCTTTATTTTCAGCGATGGTTTTGTTTAGAATCTTTATAGCATATAATTTTTTGTCACAAGTACTAGTATTTGTTCTTGAACTAGTATGTAATATAAGTATATGGACAGTTTAGGATCTACTAAAAATATAAAATAACATGTAGTATACAAATGGCAAAACAATTAGAAAGCAAAAATTGCATAGTAGTTTCATGAGTCCTACATGTATTGTATAACCAACTGAGATAAACGGCAGATTTCACAAAATATATTGGAAAAGAAATAGGCATGCCACCATAAGAAAAAAAAATTATGACCTGGTTATTGGCAAGCGAAAATTGCTGCTTTATAAATATCTATTTATCGATTTATTTGATAAGACTGATTTCGAAAATAAATGAGTTTTAGTAAGTGGTAAATCCAGTGTAAATTAAGCTTTATAACAATATTCTTTGTAATTAATTGTTATAACGGAGAGGATGCATGTTCTAAGTTTTAAGAACTTGTGTCCGATTCTTTTGTTGTTACATCTAAACAATAAAATATTTTCGAACCAAGCCAAGCGGTAATTTGAAATAAAAATGTCCCCTGACATCTGACATTTCAGTTAGTAAGTATACGAGCACCTAATTCCAGGCTTGCAGACAATCACGTGTTTAACATGTAAAAGCCAACGATCGATATGACCTTGACATGCTGTAATTCATACTGATGAGAAAAGTAAAAAAAATGTACATGTACGTAAAACATAAATACATTGTTTCATTTCTGACAATACCCTATCATTTCACTGGCCTTATCAACAGGTATAAATTAGTTCTAAAAACCACAGCTGTTATATTTCATCTCCGCTTCACTCTCGATCTCGATTTATACATTGAGCAGAGTAATGTATAGAGTAAAAGATGGAATTCAAAATATTTAAGTTCATTGACACCTCGCAAATATTTTTTTAAAAGAGTAACAGATGAATTGAAGTATAAAGAATCGCAACTGTATGCATTTACATTTAAGTTGTATATCCTGTTTTTATAATATCACATAAAACAGATTAAAACTACTACCGGTATTATACAATGAACTGGAAAGGGGGGGGGGGGCACTGCATGATGGGTCTAGTCGCACAAAGTGTATACCATGCGCTGCCTAATAAAACTTAAAGTTTAATGCACAAAGAAAGTTCTTTTGCAAAGAAAATTTACGTTAGACATATCAGTTTTAACATGTTTAACAGTCGAAAAGAGTTGGAGAATTATGTATATTCATGCACACAACCCGACTTTAATACATGTAGAGCCTTCTGGTTATCAAACTGTTATAAATTTAATTGGCGAATGCTTAAAAAAATTCATTTCAGTCTTTATTATGCATAATTGTCATGGGAAAAGCTTTCATATTAACGACGATGGGAGTTCAAATGTAAACCCTTCAATCAATTAATTAAGTATGTATAATGCTGACAATCTATAAACTTATACAAAGCAATTTACTTAATAAACAATGTGTACACATAGTATTGAGAATGGGGTTGGGGTATTTTCCTGATAATGTATTAGAAATAGAAATTAATAAAGTGGGAAACCATTTTCTTTACTCTCATAAATGCAGTAAATTTTGCATGTACGGCATTTCGATGAACATTTTGTATGTATCTGTCACCGCATGTAGCTCATCATTAGCTTCATCATTCTTTTATTGATTGACAGTCGGTACAGGTAGATTTTTTTGGCGTTGAGATATAAAATCGCCAAACACTATAAAT